GTTTTCATGACAGTAGAAAGCATGGTTTGACGAAAGTGGTCTTCCATAATAGTGCTCCCAAACAATAGCCAAAGTAAAGTGTATGCATCAGCTGTGAGATTTCTAAGGAGAAGTGTGCATGTGAATAGCATACAAAAACATGTTCATTATTACTAGGAAAACCCAGACCATTAAAACGAAAACATACGATACAACAACCTCAGCGTTTACCAGTGTTAGCAACCATGTATCTTATCAAAAGAACTGCGTAGATTTGTACTATTTTGCAAAGCTGTTTAATAAAACCTATGACTTATTGTCACCGTCAATCATAACGATTTCATGCATTCGTCTTTCTCTGGACTCAAACACTGAACGTACAAGTTTCAGGGTGCAAAGCAAGAATCACATTGGTTATCATGACTGGCCAGGCGCTAGGCATTAGTATTATTTGGCCCTTAGATGTTTTGGAAAACACGATCGCAACGAACCCATCAGACGAGCATTTTACTTCTGTAATTTTCAAAATTTCACGTGCTGCGGAATATATTGCTATGTTTTAATATGAAAGTACACTCGTTAAGCCATTTTGAGAGCGTCTTTGCCTTTGTGAACTCCTAACACAACATTACGCTGACACAGTCGGTAGTAATAGGCTTTAGGTAGCCTAAGAAAGTAGAATTTAAGAAGACGAGTTTACCAACCATAATTCCCAGTCACAGCAAAAGGGAAGAGAAAGAACATACATGTGAGCCGCATAAATTACTTGAGGGGGGTCAATACATTGATTGGAAAGCCAATGACTAGATCCCCCATCGAGGAAAACTGCTGACAACACAAATTGTGGATTCGAACATGGCGGACGGAGGGTACCTGAGATTTCAGTGAAAGACGTGTTTACTTGAAGAATTTGAATCTCTGCGGACATGTCGAGGAAAAAGGTAAGCTAAGGCTATTGAAAAATACTAAAAGAGTCAGATTTATGGAATAAAGAGTGTCTGTGTGATTTTAATCAGAGGTAAAAACTCTGGAAAGCTTCACGAATAGGTATCGCTTTCGTTTCAATTTTTCGGAGAAGTTTCCTCATGGCTAAAATGCATGGGCAGGCTCATTTCAGTAACATATGAACTTTCTTTGCTTATTTTATTTCATATCCAATGCTTTTACAGTAAACTGGTTTTTGTGTGAATAATTTATTTAACCCAGACAAAACATTGTGCTCTACATTTTCTATCAAAAGAGATTTTTTATCATTATCACCACGACTTTATTGTGTGGCTATTTTTCTAGGCCATTCTCGCTTTTTTTAAATTGGTCTTGTTGCTAATATTTCTTATGAAGATGGATTTTACTCGTGTTTATTTTGTGTATCTTAAAATCGTTGGTAAAGTAAGACCTAAGATCTCCCCCCCCCCCGCCTCATAGTTCTCTTACTATTAAAGGGTGCGTTAAATACGAGTCTGATCAGGGCTCAGCAAAGAGCGTTACTGGATAATTGTTTTAATTTATTGTCTGTCAGTTGTGCTAAAACAAACCTTCATATCTGGATAATAAATCTTGCACTGCCCTAACTTTAAATCTGTTATTTCCCGTGGTTTTTCTTAGGATCTTATTTTCTTTTGGTACTAAAATTTTATGAGGAAGGGAAATCTCTGTTGCTCTATCAAACCTACTACTTTGAAGCTCTTAAACTGTGTACAACAGGAATTTTTCTATTTGTTCATGTATTGTAATATGAAATTAAAGAAAGTCTTTTGTTGACAGTTTCTTCACTGCTTTTTAACCGTCTGAAAATGTGAAATTTCACTTCCAGTTGGGTCAGAAACTGCATGATGTAGAGACCTGAAACTTGCCAGGATGCGATGTCAAGACAGAAACGTAGAATAACAACCTTTTGAACCAAAAAAAAAATTATCGTGGAAATAAAAAAAAGTAAGCAAAATGTACCAGGAATTAGACACTCATGCATAGCTCCAGTTTTGGTTTGAAATTGTAGAAATGTTGTGAAAAATTTGTAGACCTGCATTCGTATTNCCCCCCCCCCCCCCCCCCCTCATAGTTCTCTTACTATAAAAGGGTGCGTTAAATACAAGTCTGATCAGGGCTTAGCAAAGAGCATTACTGGATAATTATCTTAATTTATTGTCGTTCAGTTGTGCTAAAACAAACCTTTATATCTGGATAATAAATTTTGCACTGCCCTAACTTTAAACCTGTTATTCCCGTGGTTTTTCTTAGGATCTTATTTTATTTTGGTACTAAAATTTTATGAGGGAGGGAAATCTCCGTTGCTTTATCAAACCTACTACTTTGAAGCTCTTAAACTGTGTACAACAGGAATTTTTTTATGTGTTCATGTATTGTAATATGAAATTAAAGAAAGTCTTTTGTTGACAGTTTCTTCACTGCTTTTTAACCATCTGAAAATGTGAAATTTCACTTCCAGTTGGGTCAGAAACTGTGCGATGTAGAGACCTGTAACTAGCCAGGATGTGATGTCAAGACAGAAATGTAGATTGACAACCTTTGGAACCAAAAAAAATTATCATGGAAATAAAAAAAAAGTAAGCAAAATGTACCAGGAATTAGACACTCATGCATAGCTCCAGTTTTGGTTTGAAATTGTAGAAATGTTGTGAAAGATTTGTAGACCTGCATTCGTATTTGCGGTGTCACAGCCTGCCTAGTCCAAGGTTCCAGTCCCCTGTACTATGTGGTTTCTTACCCAAAAGAAGTGAAATTTCACATTTCCAGACAGCTAAAGCATGATGTAGAAAAAACAATATTCTCTCTTTTTTGATATCTATGTAATTAAAAGATATCTGTCAAGACATGTACAATAATTATTATTTCACAGTTTACTCTGACTGATATTTACTGGTGTGTATTTTTCTGTAATTTTAGAAAGATAGAGAACCCGAAGGTNGGACAATAACTTTAAATAACCTTATATAATTTGTCGTGAAAATATGGTTAGATATAATTTGTCCTTGACATAATCTGTTTTTCGAAACTAACAGTATTTCTTGCGGTTTGCTCTCACAAAGCTGTTTGCTTCTAGAGAACATATAACATATGTGGACAAATATCTGTGCACATTTCCCCACCCAAATGGAGGTTCTCCTAGGAACTCTTCTGTTAAATTGGATTGGACTTCAATATATGCCTGGCCATTATAGCAACAAGTTTGCAAGCCAGGGATTAACTGAACAGTCAATATAATTTCAATATCCAGGTTCCTGAGTAGTTACGACTCGAGATTCAGCGTAACAGAAGACTTGAACAGAATCCAGCAGTCCACAGCAAGTGTGGATGAAACAAGGGTGGACTATATTTTGGCTGCTGTCGACAGCGCAAGAAAAGCATTCCCTTGTCATTTAGCTCAGAGAAAGAATGTTGATCCACAAGGGAGTGGTGAAAACGTTACGCTCAGGGGCAGTGATGTTGATAACCAAGTTAATGGACGTTTGAATGAATGGAGAGAAGAACGTATTTCAGATGTAAATGGATTTGTGGAATGTAAGGTAAAGTAAAATTTCTCACACTCGTCAAACATACCTATAGTTTAACCTTGTCTGAGTGGACACCTTTGAGATCTAGAGTGGTGGTAAAGTGTTCATGCCCCGTCAACCTGCGATCAGGCGTTGTTTTTGTCCTCCGTTCTGACGCCTCGAAAAAAGAACACCCGGTCACAGGTTAGCTTAGAGGTTAAAGATGATTTCTCATGTTCTAATACCTTCTTTTCTTACTAGTATCCCTGTGATACTCTTTTTTTTTTTTGCCTTAGTGGCTTAAATGGTACAAGAATTCCACAAACTCTGGTCATTTTAGATTTAAACACCCTAAGCAACCAGGAATCGTCCCATCACATTTATACGTGTGTGGTATTACCCCCTCCCCCTCCCCCACCCTACTGGGCTTCACTAATCACCTTACATTTATTGTGTAGGGAGCAGGGATAGCGCAGTGATGAGAGCGCTCGTCTCGTACCCATGTGGCCCGGGTTGGATTCCAGTCCTGTGTTATATGTGGGTTGAGCTTGTTGTTGGCCCTCACCTTGCTCCAAGGGTTTCTCCCCGGGTTCTCCGGTTTTCCTCCCTCCTGGAAAACCAACATCTTCAAATTCCAATCGATCGGTATGAGGATCCGAATAAAAAGCAGCAAAGGTTGATGTGGCTCTCTGTGTATTATAAGTTATTTTTATTTGTTAATTGATCGATTGATTTGTAGAACGAGGGAGCAACATCCAAAACTGTGAATGAAGTGGAGTTGTTTTCCATGGTGACACACATTCAAGATCTTCTGCCAGGACTGGGGGATGGGTTCGTTATTCTGTGTTTGGAGGAACTGAACTACGATGTTGAACAAGTCGTTAACTTACTACTGGAAGACAATCTCCCACCTTCCCTTCAAAACGCAAACAGGAGCTTGTCCAAAGAACAGTTACTGAAAGACAGAAAACCGCCCGAGACAACTGTCCTTGAGCAAAGACACTCGGTCTTTGATAAAGATGAATTTGATGTTTTTTCAGGCAACAAAGTCGATGTAAGAAAAGTTCAAAAAGGCAAACGTCGCGACAGAGCAAATCTTAAGAACTTGTTATCTGATAAGAGTCACATCACAGAATCGGTGAAGGAGAGGTATTCTGCTTACGATGTGTTTAATAGACACGTGCGCATTGCCAATTTGTATGATGACGAGTACGATGATACGTATGATTCTCACAATGTGGGAGCGCAAGATGCTGACTCAGCAGATGAGCTGACAATACGAAGGTGGGTGGCAGTGTGTGTGGGGTTATACCATGCGCTGGGTGATGGTAGGGATGTAAAGTTGAGGGGAAAATAAGGCCTGTTGTATTTGACTTTTCAAGCCTGTCAACACTGTTCTTGTTCTCTTGAGGGAGTGTTGTACTGATGTTGAGGAAGGAAGAGGGGGTGGGTAATGCCAAAAAAAAAAAAAAAATTCGCAAGTATTCCTGACCTGAGAACCACCAGTTAAACCAGTGATAACATACTATGGAATTTAGTGTCGTAGACCCAAAACCAAGGTAATCACTCAAGCCGATCACAAAGGACATAGATGACAGGTTGATTTGTATTTATAGGCCATTTACTATTCCACGAGTTCTTGGCGGCTCTCCAGTACCATCAGATGACGAAGATGAAGACAGCGACGAGGACAGTTCATCAGAAGAAGGCAAAGCGAAAGCAGAGGAGCCAGAAGTAGACAAAGCTCTTATTAATCGAAGACAACGCGGTAGAGGAATACAGAAGAAAGAAGGGAAGGAGGGAGAAGCTGCGACAGGGGGGCAAAGGGGAGGACCCAAAGGGCGTGGCAGGGGTGTAAGTGCTGCTGAGCAGAAAAACAGAGCCCATAATGAGCGCAATAAAGGAATGAGGGCCAATCACAATCGTAAGGCGGGGGCAGAAAGAAAGAGAGCTAAAGGCATGGGAATGCTGTCACATCGGTGACACTGTTTTCTTTGTCGTGACTTATGGAAGAGACTGCACTTTTCAAGACAAAGGCTTTTCCAGAAAACTCATGTTATGAACTATAGTATCTTTATTATTATTAGTAGTAGTAGTAGTAGTAGTAGTAGTATTAGTATTAGTATTATTATTATTATTAGTATTATTATTATTATTAGTATTAGTATTATTATTATTATTATTATTATTATAAATAGGCCTTCTCTCGGTAAAGTATTCAAATCAGGGAAATCG